TCTCTCTGAACCAATGGCACGGCTGCCTGTACTGACTCATCACTCCTAACCATATGCTTATATTCCACTGACAATTGCCATTTAAATGTCAGTTTACAAGCAGGTGCTGAGGACCCGCCTTTGTGCCATTAAAGAAATCACAGACACAGAAAATGTGAGGCTTAGGGCTGCTCAGGCTCTGATGAGCAGAGCCAGCAGACCTTGGGGACCAGGGTGGCCTGGGCAAAGGAGCATGTAGAGGAGGTCATGGAACAGCCTGGGTTCAGGACCTATGGCAGCCACACAAAGTGTGAGGCTGGCACTGCCCAGTGACTGGCACTGTGTAGACAAGCACAAGGTTTGTGGGACGGCTGGCAGTGGCCAGGATAGAGGGGAGATGTCAGACTATGGAAGGAGATGGACTGAAGTGCTCAGGTGCAGCTAAGAGACAGGATTCTGCTCAGCAGGGGAACAAGCAAAATCTGGAAAGGTGGAAAAGGAAGCCCGTGCTCCTCTGCCAGACATCTGCATGTATTCCAGATCCCTCCCAATAACGTTCATAATGAATTTAATTCAGTCCTCTATGGCCCAGAGGAATGTTCTGAGTAACAAAAAAAGTATTGCTAAGGGACAGATGACTGCCAAACTCCTGTTCTGTGCCAGCAATGCATATTTATATTATTGCCACTTAAATGCTAGGTTTATTTTACTACATAAAAGATCCTTTGTCACATATTAAGAATTAATACTCTCAGATCCACTTTTGGGAAGTTACAATTACAATTCCCAAACTTAAATCACTGTTAAATTTGTATGCTATAAAGAGGTTTGGGGTGGGTTTTTTTCAGATTAAAATAGTAGTTGAATGTAGCAGTTCTTGATCTGGGCAAACTATTTTGTGGCTGATTTATGTCTTAGCTTTTTAAAATGGTTTTAGCCAAGGATTTTTTTTTCATGTCTTTGTTACCTTGAAATATCTACATCAATGTTAAATGAATTATAAGCTCAAGCACTTACAAAGGCTGAGCTGTATTCACTTACACACAGTCAACTAGGTAACACACGTTCTCTGGGCTTCTCTTGGCATGGTCTAATACACTTCTGATGATTAAACCAAGTGATTCAAAGATGTGCTGGAAATTTCAAGCACCAGTGATGGAGGTTGCTGGACCACAGCATTACGTTGTTTATAAACATCATTACTCCTTGAAAGATAAATCTCTGCTCTCATTTAATGTCACTTCAGAGCAGTCATCAGGAATCTTGAAAAAAAAAAAAAAGTGGAGCTACTGATTTTTTTTCACTTTAATGAGTAGAAAGTTGGATTTGAGGTGAAATGTGAAGGACTTTAATTCCTAGCAGGCAGTGAGGTCTAGGGAAAATAAAAAATCCATAGTGGTGTATCCAAGCTGATACAGTGCTCTCTAAGCACCTTCTGCAGCTTGACAGTACAACAAACTCCCACAGCCCGTGTGCAGTTCAGAGGGATGGCAGCAGCCACTCAGTCAAAACACTGAGCGTGTTGAGGACTGAGCACAGAGCTTTCCTTCTGATGCACTTCAGTTCACTTCCTATAATCATGTCAGGTGTGAACAGTTGGAAAAAATATTGTGACACTGTCAGCAGGCTTATTTACATGGTGCATCTCCTTTGAATGAACAAGCTTTTTTATGCCAAGTGGAAAAATGCACAATTACTCATCCCTGTAAAACACCCCAGGTTTTACAGACATCTCACCACACTCTGCAAGGGCAACAAGCAGCTCATTTTTCTCTTGCTGTACACACAAAATACTCAGTTCCCCAGAACAAAAGTGTCTGAATAATATAAAGGGGAATCTTATGCATTTGGCAGTTTGAAATGAAAAGAAAGGTCAGTTGCAGAGAATTTAGATACAAACAAAAAATCCGACATCTTGGAGCAGTGGATTTGAGCTTTAAAACTGAATGCACACATTGTTTGCTCAGTTTTTCACAGCAGCATTTGTAATTTAGGAAACTATTAATCAGCATGATCAAATATCCTGTTTCTAACTGAGAATAAAACATTGCACCAGAGAGCTTATTCTCCTTTCCCTTGAAAGAAATAATCTGGTAAAATCTGACAATACAACTGCAGACCTGGGTTTGTCGTCTTCGTGTTGAGGCTGCAGAGGAGGCAAAGCCGAGGGGAGCAGTAACCTCCTGTCACAAGTCACTGCTCAGGGCTCCTCATTTTCTGTTGCCCCACGCCAGGATCTCTGTCCCTGGATTTATACTGACAGCAGAACAGAGAGCACTGAAGGCTGGAAAATTTTCAGGACTAATACAAAATTCAGATCAGTCTTTGACAGAGACACAACAGATACTGAAAAATGAAGTGAGAAGGTAGGGGACAAGTAGGGCAGCCAAGCAAAGGGGCATGGGTTTGGTCAGGAATGGGAGTGAGAATAAAGAGACTGTGGCTGAGGAAAGTTCTGGTAGTGAAAGGGCAGAAAATGGCAAAGGTAACTAACTACATTTACTGCTTGTGTGCTAAGAGCAGCCTCCCAGGACTCTTCATCTAGTGCTGCAAGTTTCGAATATGCTGCTTCTCCATCCTACCGGAATCATTATGACCTTAAGTGATTACAGAAGCAAATGTTCAAAAAGACAATTTTTATTTGGTAGCTCATTCAGTGACATAATAAATTTCTTAAAGTAATTATAGCTTTTATTAACAAAATTAATTATTTTTTTTTAAATAAAGATATTTCTTACATTTTTTTGGCTTGGGGTGGTGGTGGGAGGCCCTTAGACACACCCTGTTTAAGCCCTGGCAGTTTCAAAGTTTAAAAAAAAAATTAAATCTTTCTTCCCTTTTCTGCTGCTCTTACCTGTTACATTCCTGTCTTCCCACCAGTGAAATATTATTTTCCCAGCTTGAAAAATCACTGAGAGCTATTTCAGAACTGCATTCCTACAGTGATCTGTTCAATGTGGGCAATCAGCCTGACCAGTAAGAATTAACACAGTGCTGTGCTTCTGTTAAGAACAGAGGCTAGACCTTGGAGCAGACTAACACTACAACAAAAGTCTAGTGGAACTGAAAACCATTCACCTCCAGGACTCTTATTCTGTGCCTTTGCAGCAGGAAAGCCAACCTGCAGCTTCCGCTCCCTCAGGGAACTGGTGTAAGGCACGTTCCTGCAGAGAGAAAAACAAAGTGGCAACAGACAACTGCTGGCTCTGTTGTTCAGAAGCAGTGCTTTCCAGGGGAGCACTGAGAGGAATCCTTTTCTGTACCTGCTGTTTCATGCAAGATCTCAGGATTTCCAGATCTCACGTGCAGCAGAGGCAGGGGATGCCAACGAGGATCCGAGCACCTTGCCCAGGCTCTCATTCCTTTCCTCTGGGCTGCTGCTCTGAAGCCCCAGCCATCGCCACTCCACAGAGGCAGAATTTTCAGACATCGAACACTTAAGTCACCCCCTTTTTAATGCCATTAGTGATGCAGCAACATGTATTTATATTTACATATAAATACAAAATGGTCAGATACCACATTTTAAAGCCTAATTTGTAATCTGAAACTGCTTACACTTTCATGACTAGGCTTGGGTTCTCCTTATTTACATTCATAATCTAATTCCACTGGAATTTGATTTTTAAGAAAGCCCAACATATCTTAATTACCATAAAAAGATCCATACATATTTTACTTGAAAATATCATCTGTAAGAGGAAATTTACCAAAAATAACACAAAATATATTATTATACTTACTTTCTTTTTGGTAAAGTACAAACAAGAATCTGATCTCTTCTGGGTATTGCCTGATCTGGTATGGCTATAGGTTCTATTTATTTTGTTTGCTTTTCAAAGTAAAGGGAAAGACATAAGAAATGTAAGAACACAAAATAAAAATGCATTCTTGCCAAAGATACAGTATCAATGAAAAAACACTTTGAAAACTAATAAATGACAATAGGTACAAAGAAACACTATCCAAGCACTATGTAGCCTCTTGTCAGGGTCTTGCTGTAATCATAGCATCAGAGGAGTTGGAAGGGACCTCTAAAGATTGAGTCCAACCCCCCTCCTGCAGCAGGAACACCCAGGGCAGATCACACAGGAACCCATCCAGAGGGGTCTTGAAAGTCTCCAGAGAAGGAGGCTCCACAACCTCTCTGGGCAGCCAGTTCAGTGCTCTGTCACACTCACAGTAAAGAAGTTTTTCCTCATGTTGAGGTGGAACTTCCTGTGTTGTCACTTGGTGCCACATTCCCACTACTGACAAGAGACTGGCCCATTCTTGACACCCACCCCTCAGATATTTATAGACATTAGTAAGATCCCCTCTCAGTCTTCTCTTGTCTAGACTAAACAGCCCCAGGTCACTTCACCTTTTCTCATAGGACAGATGTTCCAGTCCCTTAATCATCCTTGTAGCCTCCATTGGACTCTTTCCAGCATATCCCTGTCCCTCTTGAACTGGGGAGTCCAACTGGACACAATACTCCAGATGTGGTCTTAGTAGGGCAGAGCAGAGAAGGAGGACAACCTCCCTTGATCTGCTGGACACACTGTTCTTACTGCACTCCAGGATACTATTGGCTCTCCTGGCCATGAGGGCACATTGCTGTCCATGGTTAACTTGTTGCCCATCAGGACCCCAAGGTCCTTCTCAGTGGGGCTGCGTTCTGGCAGGTCAACCCCTAATCTGTACTGGTGCATGGTGACTCTACACTTATTCTTGTTGAATCTCATTAGGTTCCTCTTTGCCCAGCTCTCCAGTCTGTCTAGATCTCACTGAATGGCTGCACAGCCTTCAGGTGTATCAGCCAATCCCCTCAGCTTTGTATTACCAGGAAACTTGCAACCTTGCAACAGTTATGAAAAACAACCAACCAAAGACCAAAACCGCTACTGGCAGAAAAAGCTGTCAAGCAAAACACTGAAAAATTGGTACTGTTTCCTAACAAGTAAGAGCAGAATTGATAGTATGTTACGGTTTTTTTCCCCCATGTACGCACACTGATTTCTTCCTCTTTCTGTTCGCAGGACTGATAGTTGCAACTCTGGCAATATGCTGGATGCCAAACCAGGTCCGAAGGATCATGGCTGCTGCTAAACCAAAGCAAGACTGGACCATCCCGTACTTCAGAGCCTACATCACTCTTCTTCCCATCGCCGACATCTTCTTCTACCTCAGCTCGGTGGTGAACCCCCTCCTGTACAACATCTCTTCCCAGCAGTTCCGCAGTGTGTTCCTGCAGATCCTCCGCTGCCACTTGACCATAGAGCATGCCAACAAGGAGAAGTTTCTCAGAGCCAACCTCAGCTCCAGAGCGAGGAGCAGCCGGTCTCTGCGCCCACTGCTCTTCATGTCGTCCAGGCGCAAGTCTTCTACGAGGGACAACAACAACGTTTTCTTATGTACTTTTCAGAACGAGACCAAGCCCAACTGCAGTGCACAGAAACCAGGTGTGGAACCAGGGAAGCCCAGCTTGGAAGCAGTGCTACTGGAGACTAGGTCAGAGCCCAGTCATGATGCACAAAACGGCCTTTGTGAACATGAAGTATGACTTCGTAAGGCAAAGTTAATGATCAGCAATGAACTGAAAAACATGGAAGTTAGAAGGACTTAGGAATTGACTTACATCTTAAAAGGAGTAACACAGATGGATTTGTTTCCAATTATGCAAACAGAGCTGGAGTTCTGTATTCTGCTGCTGGGATTTTGAAGTGCTCACTAGAAATTCAATCTGCTAACTGAATTCATTAGCTGCCAAAAATATCAGCCCTCCTCTCCCCACAACCACTGAACTTCCCTTACTGTTGACAGGGATTTGGAAACAAACAGAAAACAGTTGCAGTGTCTTTGAAGAAAGGAGGAGACAGAACAACCTGTGCCGGGGCAAAAACTTGCTTCAAGTTTAGCAATACAAACCCAAAAGAACCAATTTAAGGAGCAGAATGGTGGTTATCACGTGTGGCCTGAGCACCACACCAGAATTCCCCCTCTTTTTTGGCCGGGGTCCATTGCAGAGCGGCGTGTTGCAGCAGCTGATACAAACAGAGTTCACCTTCCCTGGAGAACAGAAGGACTGGTACCCAGCAGAGGCAATCAGACAGGCTGCTGAAGATGCGCAGGATTTGCGGTACATGATTCCTGTGACACAGAACAGAGGTTACTGAGCTTGATACCAACACTGGTTCTGCTTCACAACACGACTCATGCTTGAAAACTCTTGCAAAACCAGTTTGCATCTCCCAAGCCATGCTGGTGATTAAGCCAGACCTCTGCTGTGACACAGCCAACAGCTCTGCACTGCAAGAGAATCACAGGCACTCTGGTTGGGATTTTCATTTTATTTGATTCTGGTTGGAACCGAAAATATTATCAATTTGATTAACATAATGTCTATCAAATGATGCATTTTATAACCAGAATTCTTCATCTTTTGGAATAAGCTGTTTAAATAGCTATAACTGAAATGCAATTAGTTTGAAAATTACTTTTGTTTCCGTTGCTGAATGTGTCTGAGATGTTTAAGGTGTCTAAGTAATTACAGTTTCCTGTGCTGTTAATCTGTCTTTTGAGCATTTTTTTTTTTCCTTTCCTTGTTCATTTGCCACACAGAGACAAATAACCAAGAGTAAAAGCAGAATGACTGTCAGCAAACCTTTCATCTTCCCCTCCCTCTTTCAAAGAAAAAGCAGAAGTACTTTCCTAGGTAATCTCAGTTCCTGCTTTCTTTGAAGCCTAATACCCTCAAGCAGAAATTTCCATTTGTAAAGAAATGGCCTGAGTTTAAAGTCTTCCTTTTTAAAATATAATTTAACTAATTTTAATTAATAATCTAATTAAGTTTTTAATTTCCTGCATTGTTTTTACCTGGAAAAAAGTACATTCTGATGCATATGGCTGTTATTTTTAAGTGGTTTATAAAGGCTTTAAAATACATAGTTGCATTTTCCCCTCTCACAGAAGATGGTTGTGACCTCTCAGTTCTACCTCTCACTACTCTAAAATCTTCCTGCAAGTGGTAAAATAGAAATTGTTTTTTTGGAAGAACACAGACATAACACATACACAAATAATGGAGGTTTGCTTGTATTGCCTTGCAGTTACAAACAGAGGTAAATATTTCTAAGGATAATAAAATCACTATTCATTTTGAATATGGGTTCTCAGAAGTCTTCTTCCTTTTGAAGGGTCTGGGAACAGGATTCCCTTGGAGAACAGTGTCTCTGCATCCTGTAGCACGGTCCCATAATGTTTTAAAATACACAGTGTTGGAGACATTCCCTGGAGGCACCAAAGCAGGAATATGACCTGTAGGTACTGAACTTACAGTACCTGCAGAGACTTGCTCAGTCCACAGGGACTTCAGAAATTAGCACTACAGCATCTACACAGCCCAGCAGACACCACTGTGCTACTCAGTGCTGTGTACAGCAGCAAACTGCCATCCCAGCTTAGCAGGGGCTTCTTTGTTTTGTTTTCTCCCTCTGCAGATCTAACCTCTGAAACATGCTTTAAGGCTATCTGTCTACTTAAACTTCTAAAAAGAAGCCCTTAAGTCAGTGTTAAATCTCCCTCGTCTCCAGTGAGCTTCAATCAATCCACACAGCAGGTAAAGCCTTTCCTCAAGAAGCAAAAGGAGCTACAGGGTGTCCTAGCTGTAACAGCAAAGGCACACAGATCAAGAGGCACAATGTTTATTACTGCAGTTTGCAAAAGAGAGCTCTGTCTCTGTTGAGAAACCACTGCTGTCAAGGAGCCTCCACTGGGCTGCCACTGATGGGCTTACAATACTGAAATCTCTGCTGATGTTTCCCACAAAGACCTGGAGCTTTGTCCATGTTCCTCTTGCAGTCTTCCAAGACCTGAGGCAGACATGACCCTTCTCATGGCTATGATTAACTTTTTCCTTTCCCCTCCCTCTTTAGGAAAGAATCTTGTATAAAATAGAACTAGGCACAGTGGATTGTTCTTCCATCTCTAATCCTGCATTTCCTCATCACAGATTCCTTCCCTGCAGCTACACCCACCCACCAAGCTCAGCCCTTCCTCAATCTTCCCTATGAACAGCAGTGAATCTTGACTTTCCCCTCAAAGACCAAGCCTTTAAGAAGCTTTTGACCTTGGCAGGTTTCCTGTGCCCCTTGTTGTAAGATAACTCTTTTTCCTGCCATTTGCTATTCAGAGGATTCCTGCAAAGCCCTGTTCACAGTGCCTTTTTAGTTTAGGTCCCTGAAATATCAAATATGTTGCAATTTTCCTTTAGGCTAGGAGACTAGAATTGTTCAATGCTGTGACCAATTAAATTAAGCTCTCTGAGGCATGGTTTTCACCAGGCAACTCTAGGAGACCTCACCTCAAAAACAATCTAAGTCCTGTAGCTTAACTCCATGTGTTTACAACAGCTCTGTTCTCCAGGATAAATTCCAAAGAATAATCCTGAGCTGTGTCTGAAGTTAAAGCACAGTGTTCCCACACAGAGTTGTATTTTACAACTCTTAAGTTTCATCTGCAGATGGACCATGTTCATGCCTGAACAGAATAATCTAACAGTAGTAAAATCCCATTGTAACGCTTCTCCTGTGGGTCTTCTGTAAATGTGTCTTACAATAGGAAATTCCACTCCCAAATGACTCATTATTCCCATTCCCAGCTCTAGAATTGTAATAAAATTTCTTCAAATAATTTAAAAAGTCAGCACTTCTGTCAGTTTTTTTAATAACTACTTGGCTAAAGACATGCCCTTCACATCCAAGTTTTCTTCTTTAAGTACTGATTAATTTGAGCTGCTGTCACACCCTAATTGTGCTTTTTACAAAGCATCAGGTATGAACTAAACTTCATTGGCAGAGAAAGGCTGTGCTTTTTTCTCTTAATTCTGCAATATCCTTATAGCAAGACACAATGAAAACAGGCATAGAAGACTGATGGAAGAAAGAGCTCACCTTTCCTGTACAGGAGTGACATTTTAAAAATACTTCAGTCATAACTTCACCTTTTTTTTTTTTTTTTTTTACCATGAGTGTGAAAAAGCAGTGACACTTTAAATAGTACAAATTAAAGAAAGACAGGAAAAATATTCTTAAACCTTATTTCTGTCATACTGAGATTCCAGTCTAATTGCAGTAAGAAATACATTAGGGCAACTGAGCCTATAAGAAGGCTGGGGAAGACCTGTTCATTAGGAAAAAGTTCATTAATACATGGTGGGTCAGTGGAATGGGTTGCCCATCCCTGGAGACATTCACGGTCAGGCTTGATGGGACTTTTAGCAATCTGGTCTAGTGTGAGATGTCCCTGCTTACTCTAGGGGGTTGGGCTAGATGACCTTTTGAGGTCCCTTCCAACCCAAGACATTCTATGATTCTGTGACTCCCACGGGTTGATGGGAGGGACACTACTCTCCTTGCTCCACAAAACAGGTTAACATTCCCCAGTTACTGCAGTTCACCACTGAGTTCAAATGAGACACCAGCATCCTTTCTGGATTATGTCTAGAGATTAACTGCTTTTATATCTCAAGGATGTCTCTCAGACTCCTCTCTTGCAGTTGTTTTTGTACTGTTGAGCAGTTTTAGAACTACTTCCAAGATCTGGAATTGTTTACCGCCAGCAGGCATGAACTGCGCACAGCTCTCCAAAGCGGTTATCTGCCTCCTAAGACTCGTACCACAGACATAACTGCTAATCACTGGATATTCTTGCTCGAGCAATCGGCTTGATACATTAACACATCACCTAGGAATAGAACAGCAAACCTTTCTGGGAGCTACCTCAGATTGTTCTGAGTTGCTAGCTAGAAGGCTGCACATTTTACACTCTGCATTTACTGGGATGGGGTCATTCCCAGATACCTACCCTCAGAAGTTTACACTAGTGCTTAATTTGCCTATTTACTAATATACTGTTAGAATATTTGCAGCACAATCTCTTAATGGATGAGTACCAACTAACTTGTTTTTTTTCACAGCCTGAGCAGCCCCCCCAGCAGCAGGGTGGGTTATGCCTGTGAGGAGGTACTACAGTGATGTGTTACTAGGAAGTACTTACTACTGACCAATTGATTGTCCTTCATATTGGCTTCAAGGTTTGTGAGGCTGGCTGAAGATTTAGTTCAAGTACATTTAAGAAGAGAGAGGAGTGCAAAAGACCAGAATATCTGTGTGATAATGCAGTTATATTCCACACTGTCTTCTGCCACATACACCTACTATAACTGGGCATTGAAAATTTAACTCCTAGACCAAACAACTTGCCCATCATTACTACCATTTCTACTGGATTTCTGCCTTATTCCATGCAATGAAGTGCTGGAGGCATAAATCTCAAGGCTTTTCTATACTTCCTGCTTGCAGTATTAATTTTCTCACCCTGATCCATTCTATACACACACACCTCACAACTGCCAAACTCACCCCCTCCCCCCCCCTGCTTAGCTTCAGTCTAGTCCTGAGCATCTGCACCCTGGCACAGTTTGGCCACATGCAGATGCATTCAGTCTTGACAGCAACAATTAATGCTACAATTTATTCAAATCCAAAAGTGAGATTCCTTTTACCTACCCTGTCTGCAGAGCCCAGTAAATGTTCTCTGGAATAACAGTTTAACTTGTTACTAGGACAACCAAAAAAGGTGATATTACACCTACTTCTTACACTGTGTATATGCAGAAGGCACCAGAGATCCAAGCTTTTCCTCATACTGCTTGAAAAGGATCTTACCAGGCACCTGCAATTCTTCTGTTATAGCAGACACAGAGAAAAGAGAGCAAGTGTAAGCATGACTCCCCAGTTTAAGAGCCAACCATAATACCAGCAGTATGTAACTTTAGTTTGCACCTGTAGTCTCAAGACTGTCCTTCAGCAAAATACACAGAGCCTCCAGAGCCAAAACTGGCAACTCAGATACCACCTCCAAGATCAGTGACCTAATTTCCAAAGCAGACAGTCACTTTCCCACTGTTACCCAACTACTTTGGAACAGCTTTCTGCAGTGGCACATCTCCACAGGAGACATAGCCCTCTGCTTCATCCCAGGATGGAAGGATGATCCAGGAAATTACAGGCCTGTTAATCTGACTTCAGTACCAGGGAAGCTGATGGAGCAGATGATCCTGAGTATCATTATGCAGTGTATGCAGAACA